AGAATAAAAAATTGATTTTCTTGCTAATCCAATGTTTGTTTTCTCAGATTTTAAATTATATAACAGATTTCGATTTAAACAATAACTATATATAAAAGAACCCAAGTAATGAAAAAAAAAAAAGAACATAATGGACAATAAAATAAAATATACACACTGAAGTCTTAACAATCATCCAAGAAATAATCACAGTTTAGAAGGAAATTGACTACAAGTGTGATAATACATCTACACTTGTAATGCCCAAGTTTAAATTTAGTATAAATTAAATTAATTTAAATGTAATTTTTAAAATTTTTTTAATATAAATTTAGAGTAAAAATGAAGTAAATTTGATGGATGATGAAATTGAAAACAATTTTGAAAAAGAATGATAAAAATTTGAGTTCTGAGAGTATTTTTGAAAAAAAAATCAGAAATCAGAGATCGAAATATAATTTAAAAAAGTTTTACTACGTAGGATGCTTAATCAGCAACCCCGATGAATCAGGACACGCCACATGACAACGGGCGCTGACGCAGTGCCATGCGGGCGATCCGCGTGCCGGTGATCGAACAACTCAGATCCTTTCCCGCACGCACGAACAGCCCGGATGTGTTCCCTCCCCAAACCCGATCGTACGGTCAGATTTAAACGTGAATGACGACCTAGATTAGATCGCGATGAACGACTCAGATTGTATCACGATGAACGATCTAGATTCACTCCCTATTTAATTGCACTCGGACGGTTCATATCAAACGCGATGGACGGTGTAAATTAAAAGAGGACGAGTATAAACAACCCTCTTCGCATCAAACCCTAACCCTAACCGCCAGTCGCCCTCACTGGAAAAGAAGATCCAACCACCGAGAAGGAGAGCCGCCGCCACCCGCCGCCGCACCAGAGCTACTTCCGACTGCTAAAAAAGGTAAAAATTTCTCCATTTGCTTGGAATTCAATTTTAAATACCCTCATGACCAAATTGGAGTAAAAGGACCAACCGATTGTCCAAAGAATGCGAGCCAAGCCCGGTGTTGCCGTCGCGAAAAATTTCACAAAATGCCTCTGATAAGTCTCTTCTCGATTTCCGTTCTGCGTAATTTTTGCACCATTGTGATCATCGTTTCTTTCTCTAAAAGTTGACCAGAGCAAAACATCCAATCGCAACGTGAGCCGCAGGAACCACCACACCGGAGAGTCCCACCGCTAGTGAGTTTCGATTTTTTGTATTTTTTCGGCCAACCGAGACCTCTTAACGTGTTTTCTCGCAGGTATTGATGCAAAACTAGCCAAATTGGGCCGAAAACGGCCAAATTCGGCCAAAATGATTCATGAGACTGATTTTGGGTTTGTTTGGGATTTTGTAGGTACTTGTAGCGCGTTTTAATTATCGAAAAAAAATTCAGAAAATCCGAGAACCGCAAATAGGTGCAATTAATAGTTTAGTGTTTCGGGTATCAGATTGAGTAAAAATCTCTCACCCTATTCTCTGTATATAATTGAAGTCTAATTAATAATAAATATGATATTTTGTTACAATTTATAAAATATACATAATTAATTATTGATTACTAATGGAGACAGAACTGGAAATTATCTATTGTTGTTCTGTTGATTGTTTTACAGTTTAAATGCATTATAGTGCCTTATAAATTGATTTTATAGTTTTAAATGCATATATTGTTTGATTTATATGATTGCCATTGAATTGAAAAAATGGAGACTAAAGAAAAATAAAAAATTGTGTGATTAAGTGAATAGATGAAACGACAGTCTCACTGAATATCTTGGGAGATGGTGGACGGACCGGGTATAATAGGAAACCCTACCGTGACGTTGTCTCATACCGAACGGGGTATCAAGACTTGGTAATTTGGCGCTCATACCGGACGAGGTATGAGGACGACCCGTTTCACCCTCATACTGGACGGGGTATTGAGATTTTCTAGTTTGGTGTTTATACCGAACGGGGTATAAGGACGGCCCGCAATTGAAGATGTTAAATGAAATGGTTCACGCGTAACGGAGATATCCCTATGAACTCTCATGGATACCAGCAGACTGATAAAAATGAACAATTGTTGTTTTAATGATTTGAATATGAAAGTATAATATGTGATATGTTGTTGATTACATATGAAATCATGATATGTATAATGTTATTATTTTTATAGGTTGTTTTTGTAAATCTCATTACGGTAAGTGGACAGTAAATAATTTTATTATTGATAAATGAATTTGCTTAATTAAGTGTTTCATTAGTTGTTTTGATTTTTTACCAATCTTTTTTCTTGTGTCGATAAGTTGGTGTGATATTTTTAATAGGATAGTGTAACTCATTCATCATTTAATCATTTCATATTAAGAGGACAAGAATCCAGAACATGATTCACAAGAGAATTGCAAATAGGATGCTAGTTTTATTTACTTTCTGCTTATTTCTTTTTTTTTTTGTATTTTTTTCAAAAAAATAATTTTTAATACTATTCGGTATTTTAAATTATTGTGTAAAAAATATAAATTTTAATTTTTTATTTTACTTCCGCACTTAAATTATCATTTAGTTCCTTTAAATTTCCGGAATTGTTACAACATTTGCCATGGTAAAGATAATCTTAGCTTCATGCTAAACCAGCTATAACTCAAAAATCAATACATACACCTATACATTTAGCAAAAGCAATGTATTTAGATCACAATACATTCTCTGTATTGGCTACAAATTAAGAATATATTATGATGTGAAAATATAAAAAAATCCACGTACTATACATGACTAACATTCTTCAAGGTGAAGAGGGTTGTATCGGATTCAAGGATCGAAGAACTCTGCTTAATCGTTCGAATCGTTGCAAGAAATAGTCAGTTTGCCTAGAAAATAAAGGTAAGGTTAGCTTGTGATACCAAAATAGGGAAGAAAAGATAAAGAGAAACTGTTAGAACAAAGTTCAATAAGCATAGAAACTTGTGAATGCATGTTGAACCTACCAAAACCCGAAAGGGAGCTCTCGCTACTGGATGATGTAAAGCTCTTGCTTAGCGATAACGTAACACCCGATGAGGTTGCCTGGCTCCATGATGAACTGTTCCTTAAAGGTTCCCATTCGTTTACTGGGAATATCAATTGAAAGATGCTTAAAACTGGGCAAGCCCTCCACTTGAATACCGTCTCCACATATCAGAAACTGATGCCCAACAATAAAGGATCCCGAAACACGTACAGCAACACCACCTTCACCATGAGCCCGGCACTGGAGTTTTTCTACGACATGGACTAGTCTCTCAGCAGGCCAGTCACCGGCTAATGTACTACGAATATCTGATAAGGTCGCAAAGATATCATTCGAACCATCATACTGTTTCCCCGAAAAACTGACCAAAAAAAGTCACCTCAGTAAACATTAAAGATGGAGAAGTAGCCTTTCATGTGGATATAGCCTCATTTTATACGTGTGAAATGAATATAACATCTTAAATCTTGGGATTTCTAATTAGAATTTAGAACTCATCACTCCACCTTAAGCCATTACACGGAAAAATAATTGATATATTCATCAATCATCACATGTCCATTTCGACCCATGAAAGGTCTTTCTTTTTTAATAGAAAAAAGAAGGATTATCAGAGGGAAAAGGGTACTACAACAATGGAGGATTGTCCTTCCAAAAAGGAGCAAAAGAGAAAGAGAGACCAGAAAAATAGGATACTTGGGAAGTAATCTCCATGTAAAATAGACAAGAAGTACGCTTATGAAGGCCGTGCACCTTAACACAAAGAGACACCAAGAAAAATATTATATTCTAAAAAACCAAAAACAATAGAAAGTCTCAAAAAGAAAATTTCATGAGAATCTTTAGCTTTTGCCTTGAAGATTCCGTACCTAAAGGTAGAACCTTCGTTGTATAAAGTCTTTGTATGCTGCCAAAGTTCATCGGATCCATCAAAAAGCAAGTAATAGTGTATCGTTAGCATCTGGCAATGTGAAGCAATTGTCAGTATCTAGTTAAGCCCAAATGTTTAGCAATGCATCGAATGCTGATTCAAACTTTCAACATTACATATTGTCAGCAACCAAGTAAATTTGAAGATGCTCTGAATATTTCAACTCAATAAATCCTACTAGAAACATAAAGAGTTAATTTTCAGTTTACTACAAAGCAAAGATGTATGGCAGCATTTGGAAACCCAATGATCTAATAGACCAAATTTCCAAAATATCGAATTGATTGGACAAGATTCTCGATACAACCACCTCTATTATCTGCATTATATATATATGCTAAATTTCAGGGAGATGAAATTCTAAATACTACTACTTACGATTCATGTGAAACTATCTAAATAAGAGCCCTAAAACACAAGGATCATCTAGACCCATATCTCATAAGCATTCCTTTATTATTATTATTTTTGAAATAAAATATCTCATAAGCATTCTTTAGGGATAAGATGCGGGAAGTTTTGCATTTACAGATGCTGAAATGCTTTGAGATTTTAAGTTTTCTAGCTGCACCTTCAGTTAAAGAAAAGAAAAAAAAACATCAGACAAATGGAGCCAGGTATGAACCTGAAAAATAAATTATGTAATGTACTCACATCTGCCAAATCTTTCATCCTTTGTGTTGGATCAAAAACGCTTCGAACAAATGCCGCTAAGTCCACTTCATCATGATCATACTTCATAATAAATGGGTGGGAAAGAAGCTGCAAAAGAAAATGCCATTCATAAAAATGACGAAAAACCTTCTTGCTTTGGAAAGTTTATGACATCAGATGGATCCACTAATTCCCCTTGTGCTATATTTAAACTCAAAAATTGACTCAAAGAACATTTTCTTTGCACAGCTTCATGATTAGACACTGCTATTTATTTACCTGATCTGCTGTTGGTCTGGCCTCGGCATCCTTCTGCAGACAAGCATCAATAAAGGAGCAGAACTCTGGCGAAAACCTGTTTTTTGATGGAGATGGTGATGGATCCTCCAAGATCTTGCAAGAAATATCAACTTTTAGTTGCAAACTCAAGAAATAACATGTAGTTCAATCAATGGCCAATCACAGTATCGAATTATTTACCAAGAAATAATGCAAGGTAAGAAAAACAGAAGAAAAGTACTGCAGCGAAAGGCATTGTCAGTTTGGCATATCACCTGCAACATAAGATTAACTGGTCCTTCATTAGCTGTATATGGAAACTCTCCGGTGCCACACTCAAAGAGAGCAAGGCCTAGGCTCCAGATATCAGCAGGATAGGAATAACTCTCGCTTCGAATTCGTTCTGGTGACATATATGTTACAGTTCCAACAAAAGTAGCACACTGAAAATTACATTCAGGACGAATAAGAAATCTTAGAAGTTTCAAGTAGACAAAAATATTCCGGAAGAACTCTTTAAAAATATTGCCACAACAAGTTCAGAAGGAAAAGAAAGCAGCGGGCAACAACAAAGGAAACTTAAACTATTTTTATCAATTATCACTAACCATCGCCATGGAATTCTCTAGGCCGGCACTGATGCCAAAATCCGTGATCTTGGGCTCACCCTTCAAGTTTATGAGTAAATTCGCTGGCTTGATATCTCTGTGAACTAAATGTCTAACTCCATGCAGGTAGCTCAGTCCCTTTAAGAATAGAATTGAGGAAGATAAGGATTTCGCGTTAAAAGAATTACCAAGTTTGAATAAATCTCAGTTTCTGTTTCACAGAAAATGTATAAACAAGTAAAATATCCTTACTTGCAGAAGGCTTTGGAACATGGACGAAAGGACTGGCTCGGGTATCCTTTTCCTCAATCGTAAAATATCTGCCAGTGATCCTCCATCCATGTATTCTAAAGCTATACTTATTTGCCCGGAATCTGGAGTATAAAAGGCACCATGAAATTCCACAAGACCTTCATAACAAGGTGCCTCACAAAGCATCCGTATCTCAGTGAGAAGCTGTTGCCTTTTTTCCTAGTTAGCAAAACAAGATTGCTCATATAAGTCAACATTACAACATATAACACTCTCTAGCTTTTCCCTATCTGACAACCAATATTGGCTTTCAATGTTCATCCAAACTCGGTAGCAAGAGAAATCTGGGATTTTCCGAATATTATTCAGTAATACAATGTTAATGATTCATGTTACAATAAAAGATGCAGGACAAGAGGCACTCTCAGATACCATGACCAAGTGTTAACAAATTCAGTACAGTGATTAAAAAGGAGAACAATATATTTGAAGAACTCAAGTCCTATATTCTTGCGTTAAAAATTAGCAAAGAAAAAAGGAACAAGATACACACTCTTTCAAATATATTAATTTTCTTCAAGGCGAGAATTCTATGAGTGGGAATATGCATAGCTCTTTGAACAACGCTGCTTGCACCACTACCTATGGCTCCGAATATCCTCATCTCATGGGAGGCACACCGATATGTCTTCTCGTTCTGGTCTGTTTCTTCCACCAGAGAAGATGTGCATTTTTGCAATCCAAGCTCATTAATATTGTACACTCCATATGATCTGCTAAGTAAGTTAACAGTTCCACCATCTGACAGCTTCATATACAAATCAAAACATATTAGGGAAATGCATTTACTCATAGACCAAAATTCTCCTAATAAGCACAACTTACCATATAAGAAGCACTGGGGTCAAAGGTTGACCCGGCTGAGAAGCCCTTCTCGGCATCAAACAAAGGCGAAATTTTTTTTCTTAACTCTTCTAATCCCGCCATGATGATGTATTGCAATTTAGGTTCATACAATATTTATTGGTACCTCGTTAACTCTACCAATGGATAACACCAATAAAATTTCATCATTTCTTATAGAATTTCGTGAACAAAGGTGCATTGAATACTCTATAAATAGTTTAGTTTAACACTATTGACCTTAAAATTAGAAAGAGACCAACTATTACTTGGTCTAATAATATGTATATCCCTTCTTCTATAACAGGTTGTAGGTTTAGACTGCACTGCATTCCTGTGCGTTTTTGTTTAAAAATTGTGTTCTATAGTTTATGATTATTATTTATATATCACATGATTAATAAACGTATAAATTTCTACTAAAAAATGAAAGTGTATACCTAAAAACAGGAGATCTAAGCTGATCCTGATCTCGTAATATGAAATGGGCTAAATCCAAATTCCACATTGATGTACTTAGAATTCTTATGGAGTTCAAATAAAGTATCTTTTCAATTTGGTGTCATGTAGCTACCCAAGAGAGAGGCTGGCATCTACTTATAGCTTAGCAGATTTGCTAAATTTTTAACTGAAGCAATAATCTCCCATTTCATAAAAGAGGTCATCCTCCTTTCCAAATCAGGAGTCTTCTTTAGAAAGAAACTCCAACTGAAAGGTATCTCTCTTGTAATAGATGAAACGCTGGCCACCTTATATGCAATTCTATAGCCACCGTACATCAACTTTCATATAAACAGTATTAAGTCATAGAAGAAGCATAAAAGGATTCTCACTTAATTTTTCCAACTAAAATTACGAATCTCAACTTACCAATTCATTTAAAACTAACCTAATTCTCAGACAACAAGCAAAAAAATCTCAAACTTAACCATTGTCAACAATAAAAGATCATAAATTCAAACTAAAAGCTCGATTAAATACCTTTTTAGAATAAATACTTAAAACCCAGAAGAAAAATTTCAGTAAAAATTGCACAGAAAAGCTAATCGAATCCTACAGCCAAAGAAAAAAAAGAAAAAAAAAAGAAGATACTTAAAATAAAAAATTAATGCTTTAAAACACTACTTACAGTTTGATCGTCTACAATTGGGTTTTTGAATCCGAAGGTAACCGTGCATACTTCAGTTTTAGTTCGATGCTTCCTATACGCAGAGTTCGCCTCGCTTCTCGTCTTGGATTCCCTGCTTTTAGGTTCTTCGCAGTTTTCGCGTCTGACCAATCGTGGGAAGCCACGTGTTATGAATGTGAGTAGCTTTACTGATTTCTCCCTAACTTTATCCGAAATGACTAGATAGTCCTCGCCTCCGTAATTGCAGTTAAATATATATTATTAAAAATACAGGTTCGAATTTTAAATTGTAATAAAGCAAGAAAAATTAAAATATAGAAATGAAATTAGGTTAAATATTCAACTAATGAGTGCAAAGACATATGTATATATATATATATATGTATATGTATATGTATATAATTTTCAAATAATAAATTAATTGTAACCCACAACCTTATTATTAAACATTAATTAGATCCTCTTTATCCCCTTTGCAAAACTTTAATGAACCATCGCAGTTTGATCTGACCCATTATTAATCCCTCCTTTCATAAAAACAATCCAATTGCAGGGCAGGCATGAATGACTAACAGTTTCTCCTTTCTCATAAAGCTTTTTTTTTAGGTCAATTATATATATATACACACACACACACACACACATACATCGTTATTATACTATGAATTTTCTTTTCTGAATCTCTACCCACTATTGGCTGAATTATCATCATTACTTTGATTATTATATAATTAATCATACTCTATTAATTTATATACATATATATGTTTTACTAAAAAAATATTAATCATAGTCAAATATTTATTTCATTTTTAAAAAAATTATAATTCATTTAGACAAAATAATAATGTAGTATTCTTTTTATCTAAAAAAATTTTGATTTACTATAATTGAGGTCTTATTTTATAATTATATTTTTATAAAAATACAGTTTATACCTCATTTATAGAATAATAAATTATAATTACGTAAGCATTCAAATGATTGTAAAGTTAAGGAGCAATGAATAGGGAAGAGTTTCTAATAAATTTAATCAATCAATCAATTAATAAACTAACGTATACATACATACATATATATATATAGTTAATATGGTATACGTGCTTAGATTTTGTTAGCTCTTGGATTTTGTATACCGATGATAGGGCTTGAGCATCGAATGATTTTGTATAATCATCACGAAAACCTAACACCAATAAGTGATTGGCGAAGTGGAAAAGCACTTATCATGCATATAATATATATATATATATGTGTGTGTATTAATATTTTATTACCCATATATAAATCATAAATAAATATAAAATAAGTTGTCTTGATTAAGTACATTTTTTTAAGCACATGATCGTGTATCATTGAGCTCTATATATACCAAAGTAGATTCGTGTACCATTATGAGAGAATTAGAATGTCTAACTAAAATTATCACAAAACAAATCTTAATTAATTAACTAATTAATTTTGTATTAACGAAAAAAGAAATATGGAATCATTTATTAATTATTTCAAGCACATCCACCACCTACTACCATACTTTTAATTAAAGAATTTGCAATGTCAACTACCAAATTTGGTATATATAATGATTATAGTACATGCGATCACCATAATTGGACAAATCGGTCCGGATTATTTTATTTATTTATTTTTAATTTTAATAGTGAATATTATATATAAAGCTTATTCATTGAAATTAAGATATGTTTAAATAAATATTATACATATATTTGTATCATCTTGATATATTTAGAGTTTTACGGTTTCTAACATGTTATATTTAAAAAGTTTAAATTGAGACGATTAAGATATGAAAAATATTTTTAAGAAGCTACATCCGTTATTTCAATTACACGATATTTATATGTTCTCTTTTCATTTTCTAAATTTAACTTTTATCGGTAGGTTTGAGAATCAAATTTTAAATATATAAATTTAACTTTAAAAGAATGCATTTATAATTTTAATTGTCACTTTCATTCTTATTATTACTATAAGTATAATCATTATTGTTACTGTCACTATTACTATTATTATTATTGTATTAAATTTTGACATGAATAAATATCGTGCAGTCACGGACGAACTTCAACATATACTCTTAAGTAGAATAACGCAAGCAAATGGATTGTGAATTTTATGTTTAATTTGGGTACCACAGAGTATTTTAAAAGTGACGATTTCAAGCATTTTTGAAAGTTTGCATACAACTTTTACAGGTTGGTTGTTTGTATTATTTTACCTATTTATTTATCTGATAATTATAAATATAAGATAAGATTAAAAAAATAATCATAATATATCCTACTTAAATATATATTTTTCGACAAAAAAATTAATATTTGATTAAACGATACAAAATAATATCACAACAGTCAAGTTAAAAAGACATGAAGAGATCTTTAATGATCGTTAAAGGTTAGCATACTCCGTCAAAACATATGATGGACTTATTGAACTAAATAATCTTTACAAATATTACTTTCATAAAATACGTATAAGATTTGAATATCCCAATTCAATTTAAAAAGAACCCTGATATGGTTTTATGCTTCGGTGGATGACAATATGCTCTCGCTATCATAGTCACTATTAAATGCTTAATATATTGCTAGTGTAATTTCTTTTAAGAGGACCTACCAAACATGATACATTACACTATGCAAAAATTAGGCACATATAGTTTGTGTCATTGAAATTTCATAAAGATCTTGCCAATTGATATACCAATAATTAATATTATTACCTCACGATCATCAGCCATAATTAAAATTTGGGAGTTTGGGCAGGGTCTAGCAATTATTGATTGCTTTGCAAGTTGTCACTTTGGCAAAGAACCAGAAACTCAGATTTGATAAAAAGAGCAGATACCTGATTTGATCCAAATCAAAACCTAGCCACATTTTATTTTATTTTTTCTATTATAATTTATCATTTTGTATGATATAATTAGTATATATATATATATAAATGTAATATAATATATGCATAATGGAAAAATGAAATTCAATCATTTAAGTTAACTGTGAAAATTTCAGAGAGACTTCATGCTAATAGTTGAATTCAATAATAAAATATACATAAATGAGGTGTTGCTTGGAATTTTTATAATGGGTTTTTCATGTACGGTCTCAAATAGTAGATTTTGATGATTAATTAATTATTTTAAAATTTAAAATAAATTATTTCTATATATATATATATGTGTGTGTGTGTGTATATATAGTATTAGTTTTATTCGTACTTTATTTGGGACAAAAAAGTATTTGGTCACATCTCTTATCGAGTGAATGAAGCCAAATTCTTGGCAGAAACGTCGATCATGAGATAAGAGATTTTCGTAATTATTTGAAAAGATCCGTATATATGCAATAGAAAAATAATATTTTTGAGTGTATATATATATATATATATCAAAATTTCAACCCATATAATATATACGTACATACATATATATATATATATGCTGACCCGTGAATTTGATTCGTAATTTTTTACCATATATGGAGGTACCAAATCAGAATTCGTTTTTTCACAAAATTAAAATCTTAAGCATTTTATATACGCCAAAATGCTCTTGAAACAACTAATAATGTTTTTATATAAATACATAAATACACGTATGTATAGCATATACATATTTTCAGGACTATTGGGAATATTCAGACACACACACACATATATATATATATACGTGTGTGTATGTATGTAACTTGAAACATATGCATCTAGCTACAATACGTACGCTAATGAATGGTATACGATAATGAATATACACACATATACATAATATCCGTACATATATGACATCTTATGTTTATTGAGTTCATTTTTGTTTATTTACTTTTTGAGACGTACAAGTCAAAAGGGTTAAATATATATATATATATACATATACATCATATACATACAAATATAGTGAATTGAAAAAAAAAAAAAGGTTAAAATTATGTTGCATGAACAGTGCTTGAATTATTATAAGAGAGAGAGTGAGAGAGTGTCATTTATTGCACTTGTCTTTTGCTTTCCTATTTCATTTTTTGCACTTGTCTTTTGCTTTCCTATTTCATTTTTCTGCCTTACTAAAATCCTCTTTGCCTACCTTTTTCTCTCGCTACCTTCTCTTCTCAAATCACCTTTTGTCTACTGTGATTTGCAGGCCTTCCTTCCCCCACCCTCTCACTCTCTGTCTCTGCAACTATATATATATATATATATATTTCTACCTAGGGTTTCTACCTTCTAAACCTAATCAGAATTATTTTCTTTCTTGGGACAATCAAACGATTTAGATACAGATCTTGAAAGCGCCAATACATACAGGGCAAAACAAAAGGTACTATATCTATCTATTTATATTTATATATATATATATAAAAATATATATAGTTTATCTTTTCTTTTCTTGTCATGGATCTTGTTCTTGTAATTGCTTGATTCTTGATCTTCACAGACAAAACCTAGTTATAGAAGGCTGACCGCATCTAGCAGCCTATAGATATAGATTTAGTCTTTTTGCAAAAAGAAAATCTTATATGTAGGTATATCAGTACTGGTTTTTTTCCCAGTAAGTTCTTGAGTAGTACTTTATGTACATATGTATATTATACACGGTCATGATCTAATGGGTCTTAATTTTCTAGAGATTAGATTAGGTTGCGTGTGAAAAGTAAATGCATAATAAATATGTGTGTGTGTGTGTGTGTGTGTATACATATACATCATATGTCTGATCAGACCCCTGTGAGTCTGTACGTGCATTACCTTGAAAAGAAAAACTATTTGTGTGTATATATATATATATGTATGTATCTTGGTATTCACAGAAAATATGTGAGTACTTACTTGTGCATTTACATTTTTCTTGTATAACCATATTTTGATTTCAGAGAAATTTCATTAAAAATATGAATCTATATTTTATAGTCCTTAATTTCTTAATTTGCAGAATTTATCATTCTAAATATATAAAGCATTACATTGAAATTATATATGAGATCATTATTTTTTGGAAAGTGTGGAAGTATAATTATTTTTCTTAAATAATATCAAGAGAATCCCAATTAATTGATGGATGATGCATGAAAATCTATGACATTTGAGCATTTCTTGATGATTGATGAATTGATGATCTATACATATAACTAATGTATATATAGCTCTCTCTTTCTCTCTCTATATAGACATACATAGATATATATTGTGTAATCATATGGCATGTTTTTTTTCCCTTAATTTTCTAACTGTTCCTTTTCGGCTTAAATTTGGAAAGATGAGAAATGGAATTATATAGCAGTATGTAAAATTAATTATTCAAGGAAAGCTGCTCAACCATGACAAAAAAGCAAAACAAGTTTGAAAAAGGAAAATAGATACGCCAGGGGAAGGCTCTCTTTTCTCACACATATATATATATATATCAAAAAATATGTGATGCTCAAAACCCAATTACACAGTTTAGAGTACTGACAAATGAGGTCTCCAAATCCTGAATTAGCAACAAATTAATTAATAAAGGTCAATACCAGATGTTACTATATAAGTTATAAAGAAGTCAACATGTTCTTGATCAATCGTTTCACATCTATCACTATCTATAAGTATATATACAATCGTTTCACATCTATCACTATCTACTTATATATATATATATACATATGCATATACGTGTGTATACACACACACACAATTTTATGTTCTGGTAGATTGTTTATTACTTCAAGATTCATACTGTGATCATACCTTAATGCATTAAGTTTCCAACTAAGTGTATTTAGGCCTGAGTAGTTCTTCCAACGTATTCTTAATTAGAGTAATTTTGAGAAAGAAAAAACATTGTGAAATTCAGATTTTTCATAATATTAAATTATGTAAATTAACTAATTATTTGATTAGATGATTAGTGGTAATTCTCTAGTTTTATAATAAATTAATTATAAATTCGAATTTTGTTGTATTATAATTAGTCTTTATATATAATAATATAAATTAATAAAACAAATAAATTTTTATTACAAAATTTTGTAGACTAATAATCTTCAAATCTTTTAGTTTCCTGCTTTATATATGTTTGATTTTCTATATATGCACACACCTACTTACACACAGATAATTACGTATAAGCATACATGATTATACATATGTTGAATAAATAATATTGGTTATATATAATGTTTGATGATTAATCAATTCAGATGGGTAACTCTCTACCATGTCCTCTCTAATTATAGCAGATAACTCAGGAGATATATACATATATATAGATTTATGGCATCATCTTCAGGCTACTCAAATTCTCCATGCGCGGCCTGCAAATTCCTCAGAAGAAAATGCCTACCGGACTGCATCTTCGCGCCATATTTTCCGCCGGAGGAGCCGCAGAAATTCGCCAACGTCCACAAGATCTTCGGCGCGAGCAACGTCAGTAAGCTTCTCCACGAAGTTATGCCGCACCAGAGAGAAGACGCCGTTAACTCGCTGGCTTACGAAGCCGAAGCACGAATGAAAGACCCGGTTTACGGCTGCGTCGGCGCCATCTCCGTTTTGCAGAGGCAAGTAATGAAGTTGCAGAGAGAGCTGGACGCCACCAATGCAGATTTAATGCGCTTCGCGGCCTGCAACGAGAGTTTTCCCACCACCACCCAGCAGTTTGGAAGGAGGTCTGGCCATGGCGGACCTAATTCTTCCTTTGATGCTCACAGTACTGGTTCTGGGTTTTATTATCCTAATTCTCAGTGGAATAACGGTCCTGGTGGGGGGAGAGGGAAAGGTATCTAGCATCTAATATATATATATATATATGTATATGTTAATATATATATGCGTGTGTAACTATAACAAACATCTCAGTTAGGGAGGACTAAGGAGGAGGATGATTTGACGGGTCAGATTTGTGGGTTTTATTATCTAAGCTATCATGACCCTAATGGAAGAGGAGGAGATATATATCTAGCTTGTTTTAATAATAAATGTTTACATATATATATATTTATATATTATATTTTTTCTCTTGCTCTTATATATATATATATTGTTTTATAATGTGAATGAAGGTAGAGATGGAAAAGAAAAATATAGATAAACATTCACGCAGTCAATTAATAAACATATGCATTATTTTATAATAATAAATGGTTTATTGTATATGTTGTTTATATAAGTGTATGTATACATGTATATCATGATATAGGTAATAGAGTTATGTGGTATTTTAAATTTTTATGAGGGTGAGTAACGATTAACTTAATATAGCATGCTTTTTATCTTATTGAAATGTGAATTTTCTACTTAATTAATTAATAACCATGGAGGGGTTTTATATTGAGGTAATTTCTCTGTAATTTGCTTACTAATTACAAGATCAAGGAGCATATATATGTGTGAGTGTATATACATACATATGTATATACATCACCTTTTATTATATATATCATAGATAATATATTTATTCTTACTCTAAACAGTTTTTGTGTATATGAGAAAATTGCTACATAGTCCTAATCTTTACCCAACTAATGAATCGACCACATACCTTATAAATCACATATGGAATGATTTAATATTTGATATATGAGTTTAAAAGTAATTTTGGGTTTCACTTAAAATATGATTAATCTAAGTAAATAACGATCAATAATTGATAGGTCAAGTTTAGGAGTTTGATTTTTCAAAATAAAATTATAAAAATTTAATATAATTTTTGAGTTCGAACATTATTATAATTAAAAGTTAATTTATTGATATACAATTAGAATTTTAATATTTTTATGTATATTTATCATGATTGTAGTGATTATATTGACATTATTTATTATACTTATGACTAGAATATTACTAATTTAATTTTTTTTATTAAAAAAAACATATATGTTTGGTATTCAAGAATTTAAGTAATTACTTATAATGACTTTACTATTTTCAATAGTTTAATAATCATACATTTTTTAATATAAAATTGATGTACCATTTTTTTTATATAAATTATCTAATTTTGATATGAACAAAAATAACTTGTGTTTGACTAAATAAAAAAATAAAAAAATCTCCATCCATAAAAAATTGTTAAAAATAATTAGACTATTTATCAAATTAATTTTCGAGTTTTTTTATTTATTATAATTTAGTCATTAATATTTTTAGAATATTCAATCTATTTTTTTTTAAAGTTTTTTAATTAAAAAATAAAAGAAAACTAAATTTTTATAATAAATATTAAAGATTAAATTATAATAAATATTAAATTTTATAAATAATTTATTAATTTTTCTAAAAATTATAGTAAAAATTTATTGCGGCCGGAATCTCTTTTTTCATGTAAAATAATTGAGAAGTTGCTAAGTATAATTAAGCTTATCTTTGTCATATTGCTACATCGAATACCCCACCTATATATATATATATATATCCAATAGTATATATGTTTTTATATTATATATAGTTGCCTCTTCTTTTCATATGATATATACATGCGTGTATATAATGATTTATCCAATATTGCTGTCCCAAAGCCTTGAACTAATTGAATTCGGTGGTTGCATGTAGACTTTTGTTGGTAAGGCTTTATTGGCATCAAGAATATATGCACATGTATTATATATATATATATATGTGTATGTACATATATACACACACACACATATGTACAATTGATAATTATTAGTATGTTGAAGTTTAGAGATTAAATCATTGGATACATTCTGGCTATACCTTTTCTAGATACAATGAACTAAGATTGTCTTTTTGAATTGAAGCCGAGACAAACCTTCCTTAATTAAAACTTGATTATTGATAGTTACATATGATTTTATATGTATATATGTATGTATATACACAAATTTAATTTAAGAATATATAAAAATAATGTTGAAAATTCCAATATCGAGTCCTTATTATCGTCTTGTGTTATTTAAAAACTCTTCGTCTTTGAATTTTGATACGATATTGCAGAGTTAATTCTCATCGAGTAACCAATGGTAGTACTCTCACTCTTTATTTTTATGTGTATATATGTAAATATGTAAAAATTAATTTTAATTATAATTATATATTTTTTTTTCTAAAATAAAAATTAAGATATACCCAGAGAATTTTATATATAATTAATTAACAAGAATTATTATAATTAATAATTAAATATGTTTGGTAATTCTATTTTTGTTTGTAGTAATTTATAATTAAAATTTTAAATTAAAAATTCATTTATTGTAATCATAATAAGTCAACATTTTAAAAATACACTGGACATGCAATTTAACTAAAATCTATATATTTATAGAAACAGTTAATAATTTATGACTGAAATCTCAAATAAATTAATATTAAATAAAATTTTTTCTAAGAAATATTTAATTTCATTATACAAAAAATTAATCTAAAAATATCACTAGAAATAATATATGTTATTAATATTTTATTATATATTTAATATAATAATTATAAAGTAATGAAATAGTAGTATTTTAATAATAAAGTAGTGATTATAAAATAGTAGTCTCTGTTATTTATTTAAAAGCAGAAAGAACCGCACACCTTGTCCAACAGAAGCCTTTGCTTTTTCTAATCTCTCCAGATTGTATTGTATTATATATATATATATATGTATATACATAATTAAGCATATATATTTTATTGACATTATATATATAGCTTGAGGCTTCTCTAAGTGTGAACAAAACGAAATTTTGACAAATATTTTTCTTCATAGCTTTTTGCACGTCAAATTAATTAAAAAGCTTTCTTGCCCCCACTTATCTTTTTGTTCAGAATCTCAATTAATTATTTAATCATTTTCAAAGGACAGTACAAATAAAATGTCGACAACAATCTGTTGATTTCCGGTCTTGCCTAAATACAGACTTAATAATCTTATTAAGTAATAATTAATAGTGTTGTTAATAATTTATTATTTTATGTGTTTATTATATAACTTGATTAAGCATATATTTTGACGTAGATATACAATCCTCGATTCAACCTTACATTTTTGTATAAAAATATGAAAGTTTCACTCAATTCTCGACACCTTTTTGTTAAAAAAAAATGAAATATTGAATAATAGCATAAACAATTGAGAGTTCAGAGTTTATATTTCTTGTACAGTAAATTTGAATGTCCAATAAAGTTACGAGAATATTCATTTTATGAAATTAAAATAAAATAATAAAAACGTAACTAAAATTTTATAAGATCAACATCTGCTGGACAACTCTGATGGGACGTGGAAAACAACTTTTAGTCGTAGCTTTTTTACTGTTCAGGATCCGAATTTTAGTCTTTCTGATATGAAATTGTTAAATAATGGGAGATGAGTTACACTAACTCATTAAGAATATCAACACTTAACACCGATATGGAAAACTAAAAGTTGGTAAAAATTATAAAACAACCAATGTAATCATTTTTCTTTTTAAACAAAGTCATTTAATTTTAAAAATAGAGTTCATACTAACTTTTTGGTTCTCAAATTCGACTTGTAAAAACAATATTCAATATAACAATTCATCATACATTCAAAAAAATAACAACTTTACCTTTTTACATATCTACTGGTACCTTTAGAGGGTCAATAGGGGTTTTGTAACGCCCACTAATTTTTTGATTTATTATTATTATTATTAATCTTATTTAGTTTATTTTATAATTTTATTATTTTAATTGATTAATTTAATTTAATTTAATTTTTTTAATAAAAATAAAAATAATAATAATGATAAAATGTGGTAAAAATATTATTTGGATTTAATTGAAATTGATTTTGGGAAAAAGGTGTGAAAATTAAGATTCTGGGGGTATTTTTGAAAAGAAAATTAGAAACTGGGGGTCAAAATGCAATTTAAAAAAATTGTGCCCCGTCAGCGCCACGTCAGCGGCCCAGTCAGCAGTCCTGGCCAACCAGGACCTGCCGCTGGCAAGACCACGTCGACCCGGGAACGGGCCACGTGGGCGATCTGCGTGCGCGCGATCGGACGGCCCAGATGCGTCCCTGCGCGCACGGACGGCCCAGATTCAATCAAGTACAAACGGCTCAGATTTAATCAAAATGGACGGCTGTGATTTCATAATGTTTGTTTAGTACTTTTAAGTCATTATGTAAGGGACCGTATCATACTTCAGTGATACTGCGGAGGAGCAGGGTCGTACTAGGGTGGCTCGGGATCCTCTCGCTGCAGTGGTGGCTCAACCTGTGGCAGTGGGGGAAGGGTCAGGTAGCTCCCTCCTCTCCTCTTGGCCCTACTAGGCAACAATGAGTCTCTCCAGCATCTCAGATATCCTGTCAACATCTTCCCTAAGCGAACCATCCTGGGCTGCTCAGTTTTGTGGGGGTCTTCCTCTCTTCATCTCTCTGTACCTGCATTTCGCAAGGAATGGTTGAGTGATAATTCATTGGTTTGGTGTTTCTCTAAGTATCATTGTGTAAGGGACGAGTTCGAGGAACGCGGCTCTGATACTAACTGTAACGACCCCAGAAATCCAAAAGGAAATATATAATAATTTAAGTGCGAAAGTGAAATAAAAGTATAAGGTTTACATCCCTTACATAATGACTTAAAAGTACTAAACAAACATTACGAAATGACAGCCGTCCATTTTGATTAAATCTGGGCCGTTCGTACTTGATTGAATCTGGGTCGTCTGTGCGCGTGCATCTGGGTCGTCCGTGCGCACGCTTGATCTGGGCCGTCCTTGTGCGCAGGGACGCATCTGGGCCGTCTAATTGTGCGCATGCGGATCGCCCACGTGGTTCGTTCCCGGGTCGACGTGGTCTTGCCACGCGGCAGGTCATGGTTGGCCAGGGCTGCTGACTGGGCCGCTGACGTGGCACAATTTTTTTAAATTGTGTTTTGACCCCCGGTTTCCGATTTTCTTTTCAAAAATACCCCCAGAATCCTAATTTTCACCCATTTTTTCCAAAATCAATTTCAATTAAATCCAAATAATATTTTTACCCAATTTTATCATTATTATT